TTTATGGGTTTCAATATTAATACTTCTTCTCCAGGACTAAATGTTCTTTCTTGGGCTTTCTTGTCTTATCAACTTTTCTGTCTACCTTGGGGCTCCTTTAAGTTTTCCCCCAGCTAGCTGTTAATTAGGTGTCTCAATCATATAGATGTTCTCATTCTGAAATATTCTACATGCAGTAATGTCTTGGGCACTGCAAGGTGTCTCATAAACAAACAAACAAACAAACAAACAAACATGGTATATTAGTCATCATTAATAGGAGCACACAGAGTTCCTGGTAACGTTCTTTAGATATGGCAGACATTCTTCTGTAATTCCTTTTGGTTCATTTGGAAAATAGAGATGAAATGTGATCTAATTTAAGCAGCAATTATTTGCATTAGATGTTGTTTAATTGTGAATTATTTTTATGAATGTTAAGATAAAGCAGTGGGGATAGCTTTGAACTTTTTACTACACCAGTTATGACTAGATATCCGCCCAGAGACCTTTGGGCAGAGTGGGTGGCATATAAGTTAAACAAACAAACAAACAGACTAGCCAGGAGACAATGAGTCATCAAAAGCCTTTTGAAAGTTGGGGAAGGGATGCATTTTCAAATCATGCTTGAAAAGGTTGATGAAACAGGGACTGCATTCATTTTTTCCTTCAGGGAATTCCTGAGTCTTTGTGCTGTTCTGAAAAAAAGCCCTGATTCTGCTTCTTACCTGACCAGTCTGATTTTAATGAGAAATCAGAGATCAGAATGTAAGACAGTGAAAAAACAGGATGACTCCATTGGTATTTGAGATTACTGTATTTTTTGATCAAATACTGCTGTAACAGGCTTCATAGATTTTCTCTAATTTAAAGAGTCACTGCTTAAATCTTGGAGAATGTGCATTTTAGTGCCTCTGTAGACCAGCTGGACTTGTTTTTGTTTAATTTCTCTCATAAATTCTTCTTTGTATAATTAAAAAACTTCACAACCACTGGTCTTGTCCTTGGGCTTTTGGTATTACCAACAAAATGAGCTCTTTCTATGTCCTGTTCATCCAGGTATTGTGTACCCATTATGCAGTTAACCCACATTATACAGTAATCTCTTTTTTGAGGTCTTGTCCATGTTGCAATTGAAAATTCATTATTTTAATGTTGGACCTTCTGGAGTTGTCTTCCAGATAAATCAGCTTTTTGTTTGCTTCGCTGATTGTGTCATCCAACCTGCTTATCTTAATCTCATTTGCTTCTGCCCTGTCTCGCACTTCCTTAACTTTCTGTTTGACAATTTTCAACTCCTGTGTCATTCCTATGACTTGAACTTGAAGCTTATTAATGCTCATTTCAATAGAGTTGGCTCATCTCGCTGCTTGCTTAAACTCCTGACTCATTTTACAGGACATGTCCTTCACAACTCATGTCAGTTCATCCATTGCTTCTTGCTTACCTACAGCTTGGGATGGTGGTACTTTGCTCTCTGACTCGTTTTTTTTCCTAATGCAGCCTCTGCCCTCCTCAAGCGTTCCAGGTTGCAATCAGATGTTTTATCTAAAGCTTTACCTCTTGTTGAAGCAGGAATTTTAACAGCCTGGAACATCTAAATTTAGATGGCAATCATAATTTTTAAAAATTGTGAATTTACAGTGAAACAGGTAGTAGAAGATTGTAATGGTAGATTTATAATAAAAGAGGGTAAAATCGGTTTGGAAGAATCTTATAGGCCTATATCTCTAATAAATCAAGATGCTAAGATTTTTACTGCTATATTAGCAAATAAATTAAATAGATTTATAGCAAATTATATTAAAGAGGATCAATGTGGCTTTATAAAGGGAAGACAAATGGATAATTGTACTAGGCGAGTTTTGAGCATTATATATGAGGTACAAAAGGAAAAAACAAAGGCAACTGTTTTATCACTAGACATATTTAAGGC